TTTAGGCTGAAGGACAAGGACACCACCTATGTTCATATTGCATTCCTGCATCACTTAAATGTAGGAATGCCAGAACAATTCACAAGTGCACTGTTCTCCCTTTACACCAGCATAGTTAAGATGAACATAGGATGGGTCCAAAGTGCTCTGGTAATCTGCTACAGAAAACTTTTCTTGCCTGCCAAAAAGTCCAAGAACCAAGTCATCAAAGCATCAAAAGATATTTAATATCATTTAAGGAAAGCATTTCTAAGATTTGCAACTATCCCTGACTGTTTGTCAGCTAGGTTATGGGGAAACTAGATTAAGGCACACCCCAATTATGTAATTTACAGATCTCCAACACTGTTTCTAATGTGTATATATATGCACTAAACAAATTATGAAGAGTTTTACAAACAGAGAACAATCTGAAATAAGAGGAGAAAAAAAATGCACAGCTCAAGGGTTGTTTTTTCTGGATGTATTGTTTTCTTTTGCCCTTTGCACAGACACCTACCCTTTTTTTCTGAACAAAATCAAGTCATCTACGAGTCAGAATAAATCAGTAGAACAGACAGTCATTATGTATTGACAATGAGTCCGGATTACTCATTTGTCAGAATACTAGTCAAGAGAACATCACCTATAATTACAAAACCAAAGATACTGAAGAAACAAGAAACCATACAGTTTATTCTTCAGTATCAAGTTTGTCGACACAACTTGGAGCTGGCGATTCAAGTAATATGTCGTCCAGAGACTTGCAGCTCCTTCAAAGCCGTGACCAGCCAATCCAGTCCCTCGTAGAGTCCATCGCCAGAAAGAGCACAGGTCTCCTGGACATGCCAAGTTCGGTTTCTCAGATCATATAGACCCAGCCCTTCAGATACCTCCACTGGAGTCATTGCCCCTTTCTGAAAGAGAAAGAATAATTATTCTTCAGAACGGAACTAACTAAAATATAATATTACTGCAACAAACATATTTTCAGATGAAAGTTGTCACTACCCAGATAGATTTGAACACCAGATCAGAATATAACATTGAAAACTCATGACCAACTGGGCAAAAATAATAAGAAGCTCTCACTAAGTTTAAACTTTAATGGCACATGGAAAGACAGAAAAAGCAACAGGTAGTAAGTTGTAACAGTGAAACATGTGTTGGCTTTTGTTTGTGATAATTTTTAACAAGGTTCTAATATTAATTTTATACACATTTCTCGTGAACAGCTCCTGTATGTCTTTTCTTTTTTTCCTTATACGAGACAAAGGAAAAATGATGGTAAACAAATAATCAGGCTTAACCATGACAATCCTTTTAAATCTTTGTTCTCTTCAGAAGTATCAATGTAAAGGACACCACGATGATCACTACAAAAATGGATGGCATTATGTTATGCATCCACAAAATCCTGGTTTGCAGAACAGTCCTAGATTTGCAGCTTGAAGAGACCAAAGAACATCATCTGCCAGCAGTCAATTGTTACAGTGCTGACTATTGGGAAGTTGCCAGCATCCAGGTGAAAGTAGAACCAAATGCGGTTGGGACATATGGTAGAATTAGAAGAGCAAGTTCAAAGGGTTGTACATTTTAAAATTAGCATCAATTTAGGTGATAGCCATGAATAAGAAAGGCCCAAGATGCTTCAGCAAATCAGAATTTGACAGACACCTTCGGTCTAAAGTATAGTTCAAACAACAAGGGGAAGACTCAAAGGAGGATTTCAACTTAGACAATAACCAAAATCTAGAACGTGAACTGCTTTACAGTCGACAGGATGGTAAACTTGAACAATCCTAAATCACAAAAGAAGCAATAAAGTGGTTACAAGAATTTTCAAAAATTTCAACATGCCATGTACTTGTCATGTCGTTAAAAGGTCAGGACAAGGTCTCATTGGCATCCTTAGCATAAGAAGTCCATTTCAAGACTTATATTGCTGAAATTGACTAGTCACATAGTACAGCATGCTAGGAGTTTGATATGAAAAAAAAATATTTTTGTGCATGCAGAAATAGTAAAATAAAAGAAAAAATATGCTTGGATTGTTGCAGCAGCAGTACTGAAGATGTGATGCAGGAGGAAGAAGTTCAGGCAAGCAGGATGACATAGACGAATAGTGGTTTTCGTTGCAAGGATTCATCTGGTGAGTAGATATTGTCTTGGTTATTTGATAAGACGTTTTCCTTTGGCTAAGATATATCTTGAGACTATAAAACCGTTTGTGCAAAGTCCCTCTTTTCTTATTTACATAATTTACACATTTTGTAAAAAGGAACAGGTGAAGATCTGACCTTTTTGTTCCAAAATGAAAGGGAGAACCATCAACAAGTGATTTTGAATAACAATGACATGGTAAGCTTCTGATAATATTAACAGATACTATGTTCTATTAATGGAAATGTAGGTGGTCAACTTACCAAGTCCTGTTTATTGGCAAATACCAATATGACACTACTCAGCATGAAAGGATCCCTGATAATAGCCTGAAAGAAAAGCCATACAATATCACCTTAAACTTAAAATCATCGGTTAGAATTTTCAGAAGAAGAGAGCTAAACTGCAATGACTTGTGGAATAATAATCATACTCCAGACCTGAAATTCTTCTTTGGCCTTTCCAATCCTTTCTCTGTCTAGGGAATCCACAACATAGATCTGCAAGCAAAATATCGATTAACAAATTCAGAACTCTAAGCTCTTAGATGTAACACCATTCATATAAAGTGAATCTATGACTCAAGAGATCAGTCAAAATGATGTAAATTGGGACTAATAATTTTCATGATGCAACCAAAATGAGATTTCCAAAAAGTCCTTTCCAAAAGAATATTGAGACATCCCATACATAGTCATAAACTAAACAGATACATCATAATAAACTAAACTAAAGACTATAGGCAAGTTTGTCAAACTAGGCATTCTCAATTATTCACCCTAGTCTGACTATACATATAAATATTATTTAGCAATTAGACACCAGGAAAAAATAAATAAAAACTGTATGAGCTCATAAGGGTAACATTGTGAGGTATGGACCCAAATGCACATATGATTAACAATAAGCATATTTTTTAGCATTTTGTTGATGTAGGAACAAAGGGATCTAGAAGCTAGAGCAGAAACAATTTGAGAACTGACTGAATACATCAGAATGAAACTGACAAACATGCATCCACAAGACTGAAATTACAAGAGATGCATGTAAAAATGCCAGCCAGAAACATGAGATTTACCACAAGAAAACAATCGGCCAGACCTCAATTCATAAAGATAAAATAGACACAATCCCTTACAACACTTAAAAGAAATCATGATGTAATTGAGTAGTATAGAACCAATAGACCAAATACAGAAAAAAAAGAACCAAAACATAGAAATTATTAAATCTTACCAGTGCATCAGTATTGCTGAAGTAATGCCTCCATAAGGGTCTTAATTTTTCTTGTCCACCAACATCCCAAACTGTAAATACCACATTTTTGTACTGAACCTTCTCTACATTGAAACCTAAAACAAAACAAAATACAAGAAAAAACAAGATCAAACATGGAGGTCAAGGATCAGAGAATCATGGTTGTCAAAACATAGTTTCCAAATAGGCAATTCATAAACAAAGAGTAGTAAATAATTCATGAACCAACTGCAGAAAAACATAAAAGGACTTACATATGGTTATGTTAGTGTTAAATATAACAGAACCACAGAAACTATATTCTTACAATTCCATGTTTTCTTGGCCTGTTCTAATAACCAATTGCTTATGAAACTTAACCTTAGAAAAGATGTCACAACCAGTCTCAGGTTGGTAGAGGTAGAGCTTTGGTTACAGTTGCATTTATTGTATTTAGAATGTTCAGGACAAAATTTGAGACCAGAAAAGATATAGTCAATTGAATGAAAGATGACTATGTAATATATCAGTGTTCTGATAATGCGAGGCGAAAATTATAGAGAAAAAACTATTAAAAAGCTTCAGGGGAGTTCTTTTCTTATCCTCTTTATTCCAATAACATCAACTATTAGTGTTATGTAAGATGCTTAACAGCAATTCATCGGTTCCCAAAAGTACTGTTTTAAATTACATTTAGGACGAGTGAACCTATTGTTACACTGACATTGCAAATGCTGAAATGCAGGGAAAACAGATGTTCTACTTTGTAGTTATGCTTGTCCCTGGAGACCAAATCACTAATCATGTTTCATGAGAATTCTACCTTGACAGGAGAACGACATTTTAAGGACGAGAGTTACAAACTTCTGAAACTGATTGATCTAGAAACCATTTGTATGTTCAGTGTTTTTACATTTTCTGCAATGTCTAGAGGTGACTGCAATATAATCTTTCCATACATCACTTCCTAGTCAATTCAACAAACAAAGATGGTGCTAGGCAATTCCTAGAGAATAACTCTTCTACTTGGAAGCAAAGCATGGGACACTTACCGATAGTTGGAACTGTTGATAAAACTTCTCCAATGTGCAATTTGTACAGGATAGTCGTCTTACCAGCTGCATCCAATCCTAACATCACAACCTAAAAAAAGTACAAAATTTGGCATAATTGACCACCAGCATCTATTAATCATAATAAATATAAGTTCACACAAAAACTGAAGACTGTGGTTCTAGATTCCAAATGCAAATGGAACCAGCATTGACACATATTACTTGAATTCAGAAGAAAAACAAAGCATATGATAATTTATCTAGTTTAGGAAGTCCCGTTATATCCTAATATTTCAGATGCACAGATACAACTCAACAATAACACAACAAACCAGTGTTAGGAACTATTTTTGTTGGGTCCTTTCTGATGAGAAAGTTCTATTATGGACAATGTCTCTGCATGGTTCAAGTACTAGTATCCCAGTTAATGTTCCTAACAAGTTGTCTTTTGTCTATGCCTACCTCCTATGGACCTGTAGTCTGAAGATTCTGTACTATCAATGATTTTATATATACTCTTAGTACATGACTACATGTCAAACTAATTTCAAATGTTTTCACCTCACTTAATAATCCAAAGTTAACATTCTATAGCTTTTCACAAACAAAATAATTATTTTTATTCCTTTTGATAAAACCATGGAATGCCAAACCCACCTGTTGAGAAAGGTTCGATCGGTATTTACTGATTTGATAGTCAACCAGTATGCTAGACCAAACCAAACCAGGTGGTCCAGTCTGGTTCAGTAGATATATTTTTTTTTTCTTTTAACCCTGTGCAAGGGTTCGGCTAGCGGAAACATAGCTCCTCAACATAACCCGTCGTCACTCCCATAGCCACCACCTGCCGCTCGCTCCAGCACACCTCCCCCTCTGCCTCCTCATCCGCCTCCTCTTGCTCCTACCCATCTTTCTTCTTCCTCTTCTTCCTCCTTTTTCTTCCTTCTCTCATCTTCTTATTCCTTCTTCTTGCTCTTTTTGTTTTTCCTTCCTATCCTCCTCTCCCTCCCCTAACAGTACCATGGTACATTTCGACGTACTAACACATTGTACACCAGAACTGATCAAACCCATACCAGTCCAGCCATGGATGGACATGGGTTCAGTAATCGAGATTGCTAACCTTCAGTAAAACCAAATTTCAATATCAATACCATCATCTCTTCTGAAAGTGAGGATTCAAAGCAAGCACCGTGATAACACGACTTTGGTGTGACTTGAGTATCAAAGTTCTGAACCATGAAAATAGCTTTTGAGCATGCAAGAAGTGCAAGGCTGCTCAAAATTGACCCTCCCTATACCATAGATTGGTAGGAGCCTCATGCACTAGGCCACCCTTCTGTTAAAGATTCTTGTCTCATCTAATGCAAAATAACTGTAGTTAGATGATAGTCATTAGTGAAGTTATCATAGAAATAATTCATCCATCAACTACCACAAAAAAAGTGCCGTTGGATGACAGTCCTTGGTAAAGTTATCATAGAAGTGATTCATCTCTGTACTACTGTATTCCTATATGGAGTGATAAAACTTATGAGCCTGGTCTTATTTCACCATTGAGAAGAAGTGAAAGGACCTACGCATCCAAACTTAGCTTACACAAAGGTGTTCGTCATTGTGCGTTTTATTTCATAATTATAATCCAGTTAGCATACTCTTAGACGTTCAGCCGATTACAGCATGTATATGCATGCGGGAGGAAGAACCAACTAGCTCTAGATAAAAATGTTGAAAAGGTTAATTGCTTACCTAAACCCTAAGCTTTCATTCAATGACCCTCCCGCAGCATGATAAGGGCTGAGGATTTCAAGGACAAGGTTCATGCACATATTCGATCCGTCCAAGACAGGTAGACCATAATTACTTACCATCCTTATAATGGACTAAAAAACAAATCGCAAAATTAGATTAAATGGAGGATGTTCAATCATTAGACGAACGAAGTTTCGAAGGTCAAAACAGAGCAAAATCCTTCAAAGCACAGGTGCTAATTGCAAATTCCTAGGTTTTGATCCTCGGATATATGTAGACGCGCACAAGCATTCAATTAAATTGAAAAGAAGGAAAAGAAAACAATCTAAAACAAAATTGTGAAAATTCGTGCGCCCTTATGTCCAAGAATAAAAGGAAAATTGAAGCCGGTGATAAAAAGAAAATTCTTGAGGATTTATTGAACAGGACAAGAAATAATCGATTCGGAAACGGTGGAAGTGTCATATCGAAAACATAGAGAGAGGAATACCCTCATTTCCACGGGGCTGAAGAATCGGTCGAAGAGCTTACGGAAGGCTTGTCCCATGTCACAGGATCGTTTCTCTCTCTCTCTCTCTCTCTCTCTCTCCAAGGTTTTGTAGCTGAGAAGCCTGAACGGCTCGATCGGGAATGGAATGGCGAGGAAGAAGAAGCTGTTGGAACCCAAGTTTTCTTTTTTCTTCGTTATTTTTATTGATTGCGGAGGAAGCAAGCTATGACCGGAGTCTTAGAATTCTTCATATAGGAAGTACATGCGAACGCATGCGCGCTGCATGAGCCCCCTTGCTAATCGAACGGCTCTTACGCGCGTCAAGTGGATAGTAGATTCGTATCCGACGGCTATCATGCGTAGAAGCGTTCGCATATGCCTCCGATTGAAGTTTTTGTGTGCGTCAGCTTCGTTGGTCGGACCGCGGGGAACGCGTCCTCCCTTGTGAGCTGGCCTGGGCTGTTCAAGAATGAAAACACTTTCTCGTCTTATACGTTAGAAAGGAAAACACTTTCTCGTGGAGGGGAGGGGAGCAGATGGGAAAGGTATGGGGGTCTTACGTATGACGTAAATAAAACACTTCCTCCCTCTGCGTTCACGCGCACACAACAAAATAAAAACATTTTCTCGTGGAGAGGGAAACGGTCCGTGACGGAACAAGTGGAGTTCGCCTGTCGTCGCCGAGGCAGGAAGAGTACTTTCCCTGTCATACAGGTGATGGGGCCCAGTCTAATCTTAATTTTATAACGGGCCGGGTTGTGATTCGGATCCGAATGCCAACCCACCCAGTCTCGATTCGATCCGATAACAAATGCTGCGTATGACCAGTTTCCATCGTGGAAGTTTCCTAGTCTGGACTCGGATTTGGTCGCTCACCGATGGCGGGCGGAGCGCCGCCTTCCTCCGGGGGTCCTACAGTTTCCTCTTCCTCCTCCTCGTCTTCTTCGGGCCTTCCTCCTCCTCCGCCTCCTCCCAAGATCCTCCTCGCCAAGCCAGCCGGTGCCGCGGCTGCTCAAAGGTTGGGCCGCGAGGACGACCCCTCCGCCGTCGTCCACCGGTCCCGTAACGCCGCCCAGCCCGGCTCCCTCAACCTATTCTCCGAATCCTGGGAGTTCCACACTGATCGGATCCTCCCGGTTCGCTTTTTCGCATTGCCGTTCCTCCTACTCTTCCTTTTTAGCCCTAGAACAAAGATGAGGTTTTGTCTCAAACGTGGTCATTAGAGAGGAACTCTAGCATAATGCGATGAAGTTTCAAATATGATGCTTTTTCCTTGGACAACTTTTTGTTCTTTTTTGTCTGCCTTCGAGGATTTTTGTTAGGAGAATAAGAAATACTGAGAAAATTCTGTTTTGCAAGCCTGTAATCGCTTGCTTTCTGTTCCACGCAGTTTTTGACCGAGAATTCGGATTTCACTGTGATTGGAATCATTGGTCCACCTGGAGTTGGCAAATCAACTATCATGAATGAACTTTATGGCTTTGACGGAAGCTCGCCAGGTACTGTCACTCTTATGACTTATACAAACCTCACTTGTGCAGGTGAAGAATAGTTGCTGCTGGTTGAGGAAGGAAACTTCCTTTTTTTTGGCAAAAGCAAGCGGTTATTACCTTTCAAATATAAAAAAATGATGCGTAGCTTTTCTTATATACTTGAATTTCTAACAAATAAGATGGTTAATTGAAAGAATTAACATAGGGCATTCTATAGATCCAAGAAAACACTTCATTTTAAATACCAAGATAATGGTTGTTAATCCTTGTAGTTCTACATTTAGGAACCTTTTGCACAACACCTGTAGAAATCAAAACAGTACACCAGCTAACGGAGAGTACTGTTTGTCAAGATTTATTCATTGCATTGGCTATAAATTTTAGCTTTTCCCCACATATAAAATGGGGTCTCCTGTGATGAATGGAGAACCACTCTAGCATGTGAAAAGAGTGGCTTCTGCTACAGTTAAATAAGTAATTGTGAGGCCTTTTTGGCTGAACATGAAATGGTTTTCCAAATCCTGAAATAGGCAGTCCTCCCTATAATATTACTCATACCAGTTATTGTTAAAAAATGTACAGCTTATTGTATCTTTAACAGTGTCAGCCATCTTATATGGTCAACTATTGCTTTCATTCTTCAATCTAGAGCTGCTTTTGTGATAAAACTACTTTTTGTTTAACAAGCATGAGCAGTATTTTACTCGTTGGAACTTATTTTTATTTTTGCTAGTATGCATGTGTATGTGTTTTATCTTGTATGTTCATCTGTGCATAGCACAGATTGTTTACTAAGAGCCAAAAACACTAAATTGCAGGAATGCTACCACCTTTTGCTACACACTCTGATGAAACTAGGGCAATGGCGAAGCACTGTACCACGGCAATTGAATTAAGGGTTTCAGCTGAACGACTTATACTTCTTGATGCCCAGGTTACTAAGTTCAAATTTTTAATTATTAAGATGCTTCAATAAGTAATATTTTTCCATTTGTTATGTATTTTTGGCCATTGTAATTCCTTACAAGATCCAATTGATGCCAGGGTGGCCTTAAGCTGAATTTGTAAACAATTGTTTTATTCTTATTCCTTCCATTTTTTCTTCCTTGCTGCCATTTAGTGATATTTACTACTTCAACCTCTTGAAGTGGTACGTCAGGGTTCTTTAAAGTGGGTTCATTATGTAAAGTTTCATAAAATCCAGTAGAATTTTAAAGGCTTGTTCTGTGGTTGCATGAGTTTTGTTCTAGAAGTAGATATTTTGCTCCTTATTAGCCTTTTAGAATTTTTTTGACAAGCACATTTCTCACCTAATTTTCCCTTGGGAAACTAATAACACGTAGTATACTACTGATGTTGATCATTAACTTATATGCTTTACCTACACGTACCTTATTCTTGTCATTGCACATTTTTACTTCATATGCAGCCAATATTCAGCCCTTCTATATTAGTTGATATGATGAGGCCTGATGGTTCATCTGCCATTTCTGTTTTAAATGGAGAGGCCTTATCAGCAGATTTAGCCCATGAATTACTTGGGGTTCAGGTGCTTTAGAAACAAATCCATTTCATTTATTTAAAAGTTTGTACATCTTTATTTCTTTGATGGTACCTGACCAGCAGTTATATTTTCTGGTGCTGCAAGCAATTATTTTAGCTTGGCGTGTTTCTAGCATCTGTTTGTAATGTTTTGTTGGTTGTCTCAGAAGGAATTCATGAATTCAACATGTGGCAGCTTATGCTTACGGTATGGTATACACTCTTATCTTTAAAGTACTATGGTGATTTTTTATGAAGCGCTTCATATGCTTACCTGATACGTGAATTTAGTTGTGAGCAACTAAAAAATCATATCTCAGTATGACTTATTTTGAGTTATGTAAGCATTTATAAACTAAATGCTTGATGCTGATCATGCTTTTCTTAACAATTAAAGAGCATATTTAGATCTACTAAAAAGTGACAATGATTTATGCCCTTCTGCATTGCTACAAATGAGCTTGGAAAAACATAAATATCCACCTCAGAGATAATTGTAGTGATAAATGGTTGCTTAATTTTTTCGGTTGTTTTCTTGAGAATTATGTTGTTGCAACAAAATTTCATTAGATCAATACTGGTTCAGGAGGGATATCATTTTGCTTCCCGTTCTTTTAAGCTCCTCATAGAGCACCAATACAAGAAAAAGAAAACTTCACTTGGATATAAAGGGGTTGATGGCAGGATCCAGTGGCATAATTGCTACTTTGAAAATGAAGATAATGCATGCTCCATTATACACTGTTGATGTAAATCTACATTTGGAACTCCAAACTCATTGACATGAGGGCTGTTCTTCACAAATACTCTCTCCAAGATTAGGTAATTAGAAAGAAATGTTTTATGCCTTTCCGCCGTGTTGTCATTCTTAGTTTGTCTTATATATGGTAAAGTGACATGACTTTGTTTGTTAGGCACCCTCTGTCCTTTTCTCAATTTTCAATATTTTGATAAGCGTGCTGTGTACCCTAATGCTAACAAACTTCATCTCGTTGATGACTTATGTTAGTCAGGTGGACCAATCGCTTTTCTGCTTGTTTACTATGTGTAATGGTTTTTTCCAGTCAGCAAAACTTCTGACTTCTTGTGTTATTCTGTCGTGGCAAACGTGTTTAAATAGCTTAGTAACTTAGTTTATATCTTCTACTTTCTTTCTTCAGACTGTTTTATCTTGAGAGTTCTTATTTAGCCACAATGTCTATTTTCTCCCATGTATTCACAGGTTGATTTATTAAAGCATGGGATACCGGACCCATCTTTACTGACATCTGCTTATACTCAACGTTCTAATTCTGGACTAGATAAGGAAAACAAAGGAAATGATCAGGCTACAAACGAAGAATTCTTGGCTGCCCCTGTTTTTGTTCATTCTAAGTAAGAATTATATTCCTAGCTGTTCTTCAGCTTTTTCTATATGCTAAAGGACCTCTCCTTATCCTTAATGGGAAGGAATTGTTTGTTTTATGATTTTGCTGATTTCAACTTGCTGCATCTTGTTCATTGAAACTTGAACATGTCTAGTGTTTAAAGGTTATTTACCTAATCTTAAATAGATGTCAATCAGATTCCAGAAATATTGTATGATCACTTAAAGTAATACCTATAGAAACTTTATGTGTAGGCATATCCATTAAATATATGATGCTAGATTTCTTCATAGTAAATGATGGTCCAGAGATTAAAGAGCTGTAACATGGATAAACATTAAGATGAAAGCATAGCTTATACGCCCAGAGCTGGTTTTTAATGTTGTTTAATATATATTCTGAGTGTAATTTTATAGCCATAATTAGGGACCTCTAATTCTCTGTGAGTTGATATACTGATGTCCAAGCAATTGAATGAGCAGTGGAGAAGACTGATGTTGTCTTTGTTGGCACAAATATGTATATATATGAGGGTAAGCATAAATAAATTAAACTAGACAGCAAGGTAGGCAATACCGAATGATACCGTCTGGTACGGGTGGTACGTACCAGTCCGATGGCATACCGGTACACGGACCGCCCGTTACCGGGTGGAACTAAAAATAATAATAAAATAAATATATATTTATTTGTTTATATTTATATATAAATATTTTAGAAAAAGGCGACGCCGCCTTTTCGGATTATATATATATATATATTTAAATAAACGATGCGACGTCGCCTTTTAAATAAATAAATATATATATAATCATATATATATATATATATATATATATATATATATATATACCAAACGGTATACCGCTCGGTATACAATTTCGTACCATACCGAACGAACGTCGAAACTCTGGTATGGTACGAAATTGCAGACCTTGCTAGACAGATCTTTCTTACCAAGGATGATGATATTAAGCAACGAATTATGAGCTGCCCATTTTTCTTAGATTTCACTTAGATGAGGGGGCAGCCTGATATGTGGGAAGTTTGGAAAATTAAGAAAAATATTGATACATGGTTTCTGTTATAAGTAACACTTTTCTTTTAACCTTTTAACTTATTTTCCTCGTCTCTAGTGTTGATGGTGATGATAGTTTTCCAAGGCTTTTCAAATTTGGGTAACTGATTTAACCCACTTCACAAGCTGTTATTTGTTTGTTAGCCATGGTTTAAACTTTAAACAATGTTCTCTACTCTGCATGTATAACATATCCTACAAATCTGCAGTCTTTACTTCCCTTGTGTCGTTGATAGATTCCGATATCATATGATTTAACTGGTAACTCAGGACATGTATATGATTTTGGCAGACTACAAAATAAGGATTTAGCACCTTCCAAGACTTTGCTGGTGAGGAAGGCTTTGCTGAAATTCTTTGGTTCCTCCTCTTTCAAAGTCAACAACAGCAGAACTAGTTCCCTGAACAAAACGGCAGAGGATTTAGATTCTGAGCAACCATACTTGTTTTTGCTCCCTATGAAAGTTCAACACAACTTACGAAAACCTCAGTTTGAAAGCTATCTTTCAATGATAGGGAAGCTACGAGATGAAGTAATATTCTTTATCCCTTTAATTCGTTGTTCCTTAAGTTATGTGAAGTTTACATGTGATGTTTGAAAATTTTTAACTATCATTACATTTTATCAGGAGTTAGTTTTAAGAGGAAATTTCAAGGTGCTTGTTTTGTTTTTGCACTTTTTGTATTTAGGATTACTTAAGAATTAAAGAAATTTACCTGACTACATCATTCAACCTATGTGCTTCTTTTATTGTAATGCCAAAGATTAATCAATAACTTTCCTGGATATCCATGTTCTTTCCACCTAGTATCTTTGATCTGATGCAGAAATCAGATCTGATACTTTCCATCAGGCATGAGAATCTTTTCATCAAGGAAGTCACTATAATGTGCTAAAATTAAATGTACTTCTTGGTAATACTGTCCCCAGAGTGCAAAATAGTGTAGATGGCTTGATCTATCCTACCTTTTAGAGTCTTTGAACTTGTCCCTTGATTTTTGTGTGGTACTCTAAATCTCATTATTTTTTGCTTCAGATATTGTCGATGAATGGTCATCCATTTGCAAGGAACATCACTGAGCGTGAATGGTTGCGTAACTCGGCTAAAATATGGGAATTAGTAAAGAAATCCCCAACAATTGCTGATTATTGCAGGACACTTCAGGGTTCAGGACTATTCAGGAAGTAGCTCATTCTCCTGGCTATTAGTGGCTTGCATCCGTTGTCGAAAATACCTTCTGATCTATCCATTCGGAGAAAGCAAAGGTATCAGATGCTTCCTACCAAGCTCAACTTGATAACTGTTCTTAATTTTCTTCTACTTCACAGGGGTTTCCCAGCCTGAGACATGCAATCACAGAAAGAAGCCTAGAAAGATCGTGCAGGTTATGTGGCGATTGAATCTGATCATAAGCCCTAAGAAGCCCTTTGGAGATGACTGGCCAAACAAAAGAAAGGGAAAGAGAGGATAAAACTTTTAATGAAGTTGTTTAATTGTTTTCTTTAGCATCTGAGAAGAGACCAATTTAATGAGGGCACTGTCTTTTGCCCATGCCGATAATTCATTTGCATACAGTTTCCTGTGCTTCATACAATGAGTACAGTCGCAAATTCATTTGAAGATGTTTGAAACATTTAATGGTGGATCTTTATCATTCTTTTTTGGAATCTGTTGCTATCTCAGACTTGACAGTTGCTTCATTCTTCTCCATGGTGTAATTGTTCAACAATTCTGACAGTGGTTTCTTTTGTAGTCAAGGGCTCCTTTGTTGGTATTTGCCTATCTCAGATTTGTTGGGCTGTGCAAGCAATTGGTGGTGATTTATTTAGGTTAACTGACATATCATTGGTTAGTACTTAATTATAATTTGTCCATCAGTCAAAATTTATTGATAGCTCAGAGAAAAAACCCCACTCAGCTCAGAATTATTGGTGAAATATCATCATATGTTCCCAGGGACCAAACATTAGGGATCACAATGAAACATTGGTGCCAAAGCTCAAATTATTGAATGCTTTTAAGAATTACAAACACAATACTTTGAGGATAGTAATTTCAGTACAAACTGGCAAGTCTAAAAGGATGTTTCAAAGCACAATTTTTACTGATCTACCAAAGCAATTGTTCCCTTGCCTTGAACCATCATTTAGATCGCAAAGGATCGACGTGGTCTCGATGCAAAGACCCATCCTCTCTTAAAATTTCATAATACGTAAAACAAAATGACGCTTACACGTTGCAGTCTGCTTTTGAGACAGGAGTTCTGGAGACAAATACAACATTCAGAAGCATTCACATACATGGGTAAAGATAATCTACTCACACTTGATCGACTGATATATGTGCCGCACAAAGAGTAAAGATGCGCGGAAGCCGACAGTTCCTAACATGAGGAAGAATCCATAGCAGATGCAAGTCATGTAACCAAAGAAAAACGATGTTTGCATGAAGCCCGACATATCTGATCTTGCTTGATAGTAGTATATGCAGTAGAAAAAAATGAATATACCAGTGGAGCCTCCACAAAGTACAGATCTGCACATACACAAAACACGAGCTATTAGTTAGTTTCAAGTTCACAATTTGGCTTAAACTTGTTCAGATGAAAGCACATAAGAAGTAAAATTGTATATGTACTCATTCGGTAGTAAAATACAACCAGAAACATTTATCATTCACCGGAGATTGTGTCCTCGTGATTGATCAAAATTTCTTACAGAGTAACCATAAGATGATTTTCCAATGACAAACAGGAAGGACAAATGAAAGAGGAAGGAAATTTTATGTTTTACTCCTACATAGAGATATATTATGAACTATCACCGAAGCTCTTAGCTGTTTAACCGACTGGTAATAAGATGAAGTAGTACTTTCAAAAATACTTCGATGCAACATCTAGCCTACACAGATTCAAATACTTATAATGACTCTAAATGGTCATATGACAAACGGATGATACATCTTTAAGAAACTACATTGATCACTAGATCTTTACCTAAAATATAAGAATGGCCAAATTGCAGTATAGAATAATTTCCGACTTTAAAACAAAAAGAAACCTATCATAAAATGTGTTATTTTATTAAATCCATAGCATACAGTAGTCAGAAGAGAAGAAAAGTTCAATAGCTTTACCTCCACCACCACTCATGATCCTCCGCAGCAAGCTGAAAGTATGTCAATGCCACTGTGATAAATGCTGTGACAATGATAAGGATGATAAAAACGATGAAAAGGATGCTATATATTGTATAAATTTTGTGACCCCACACGCTGGCGAATATATAGTAAAGTTCAATGTAAATAGCGCTAAATGGAAGAAACCCTGCCATCATCATTTGAGGTATGGCGCTTCGATACCATGGAAGTTGAGGTATTTCTCTTGGATACTTTGTGGTGCGACATGGAGCATGGAACTCTGTTTGGCTGTTTTTACCAGCAATACCACCCAACACTAGCAAAGGAGAGGTCACAAGTGCCCATATAAGAAGAATCACAAGAATAGTACCAAATGGCAAGGCTGCCGTGGCACTATACACTATAGCAACAGTGTTTAGGAAGCAGAAGGTCAAAAACAGAGGTCCACAAAATAAGCAACCAGTCAACAATAAATTCCTCACCTGCAATTTAAGAAGGAAAAATATTGAATTCACACAAACAGGAAGTGTACTGAAAATTAGACTAATTTTCCTTTGAAAAATATCATACCCAGTTAGTCCCTTCAAGCTGCATATAGAAGGATGTTGCTGTGTACCCAGCAATGCCAGAAGTAAGAGCATAGATTACAACAAGTGCAGTGAATAGAGCTCCCCGATTGTACGGGTAGAATACTCCAACAAGTGCAAGGAGGAAGATGAATATCGTACTAGTTATATAACATAAAGTGTTAGATGATATCAGAAAAGCCAAAATAATCGCAAAAGTACAGTATGAATTCTTACAGAGCAAGGAGCTGAGTTCCAGATCCAATAATGGATGAAAACAAAGATTTGTTCTTTGGAAATCGGAAAACATCTCCATTAAGATACTTCCATCCAGTCTCCTCTTGATCTTCAATGCTTTCTTCGTCATGAGAATATCTTTGACAAAGGTGCAAATCAACCATCGAGAGAGGCAGAAAAGAAAAGGTCAAAAAGGTGTCACTCAAAAAATACAAAATAGTAAGTTTTTGATTCTCACTTGTTGAAATCGTTTTTGAGCACGCGCATGAGAATAGTGGCGAGGAACCCAGTCAGGAGGAGGACTGTTACGCATGAGTTAACGATAGAGAACCAGTGGATCTCCAAGTGATGAGGCAAGAATGAAGATTTTGAATACTTCTCCATCCTTTTCTCAAAAGGAACCTCAGTTTTTTTCCATGATACAGAATAAGAGAACTCCACGTTGATTTCCTTATCATCCGTGATGTCCACAGACAAATTTGGGTCTGCTTGGACATTAATTTCTATCACATGATCACCATTATAAAGGATTTCAAAGTGAATGTGTTTAAAGAGCAAGTATTTGGACTTGCTCGAGTCAGTCTTATCCTTCTTGATCCTGCCCAAGAATCCCCATAAAGGCAGATCATCATAGTACATCTGAAAGTAGTAATCCTTTGAGACAGCATCTCTGAGTTTTCCAACATCTTTTTTTGACAAAGCTTTCTTACAAAGAGACTTGGATCGTTTCTCCTCACGGAAATTCAACTCATACGGTGCATCAACCAAACGATCACCATTTAGAACTTCTCCTAGAGCTTCCTTTTTCTCAGTCACATGATCTGAGATCGAATCACAATTGACGAAGGAGAATCAACACATCAACAAAGCAAGAACTACTATTGCAAAATAATTTGCTGGTTGACAGAACTTCCATACCTGGTGAGCAGAATGGCAAGTCATAGAACCTATAGGTCTCACTGCAAGTCCCAAAGGAGACTGTCAGATTCAAAAGTCACTCAAACAATTTAAAGAAAATCTGAATAGTAAATCCCATTAGATGTAGGAGAAGGAAAATTAAGGGTTAAACATGATAGGATTGCTGCAATGCATCTACACCTTAATGGTCATGTTGATATAAAGAACTGGAGACATACTATAAAAAGCAGATATCTTAAAAGTAAAACTAACAAAAACCAAACGTGATAAACATCCCAATATCCAGACAATAGAAATCGAGCAACCAATAGATTAAATAAATATACGGAAAGCAAAAGATTAGATGGAAGATCTAATTTAGAACCAGTGATGCAGCAAACTGATAAACAAGATCCCATCAACAAGACCGCCCCAAACAAAAGAAGAAGAACAGCATTCAAAGATCAACAGAGGCAAAGAAAGGTCACATTACCTGGGATTGTGGAAAGGTCCGACCTTGTTAGCATAAAGAGGAACATGATCCCCCTCCTTGTATCTATGATCCCGCCCATCAGCTCCAACCCTAAATCCAGGAGCCAGCATCAAAACACACAACAACGCTGCCCTCATCGTGTCCATTAACGAACCTAGAAACTCTTCTGCAAATCCAAAGCCCTACTAGACAAAACCCCAACCTTTTCCACCCTAAACCACCAATGATTTCCGGCCTCTCCTCCTGCTCCGAAAATTTATGAGCTAAGTTTCCAGCAAGATGAGCCCTTTCGTGATCAAGGAAAGACTGGTTCTTACCAACCCAGACTAGGATCCAACAACTGATTTGATGAGTTTGGTGGATCCATGGGAAAGGGCAAAATCATCGAGAGAAAGGTCGGGCCTCGTGGGAGGAAACGCGGGGCCCCAGCGCGAGAATCGGTGGTGGGCATTTGGATCCGAGCCTTTGCATTAATTTCTACTCAAAGCTGCATGGGGAGACAAAAAAGGGCAGAGAAAGCCAGCTTCCAGTGGGCTCTATTTCGGCCGGGTGTTTAGGCGATGGTCATCCACTAACGATGTAAGGGACGTCAACGGTCTCCTAAATGAACCAAACACTGCTTTTAAGTCCACCCACCGGCCGGTGTGATTGCAACAACAACAACATCAACTAAATAAAAAATCTCTATAAATCAAACCATAGAAAAGTGATTTGGGGAAAATTATTTTAAATCAATCTTTATAGTTTAATCCAGAATAATCATTTATTTAAATTATTTAATCATGATAGTTTATCATTTCCATCTTTTATATACATCGATTATTTTAATTAATAAATAAGATTAAATATACATCAAATATTAGACTAAATATGATGCGATTCATGATCACCCCTTAATTGCCCGGAGTACATGTGCTTAGTAATATAGTTTGAGAGACGAAGAAACCAAACCAGCACACGGTGTGAGAGACGACAAACAAGTGTATCTAACATAGTTTGGTAAACCTTTTTGGTCAACTCTACATGCGAACCGCGTGCAGGCCGCCGAGATGTCTTCCACGGCAAGCATGCTTCACCTGACGAGTTGCCTTCTGAACCAACTTAGAACCAGAGAGTCAAAGAAGAAAAAACAAGAATCTTTGGCGAGCAAAAGAGTGGAGTCATTCATACAACATATTGCGGTAATTTTAATGACTATAATTGTCCATGATAGTAATTACATACAGATATCAGCTTGCCTTGACGCTACTCCCAAAGAAGACAAGAATTGTGTGAAGAAGTTGTTGGATTCTTAAGAGTAGCAAAGTTTCATTAAGACAAATATATGTTGATTCTAAGGTTCTACAAATACTTGCAAACCCAAGTTTTCAGGGCTTCTTTCACCCTCATAAATTGGAACCAAGCAGCAGCAGCAGCAGTGAGCAAACACTACTTGAGAAATTAAAGAGGAGTACTTGGCACATTAAAACAGAAATCTTCAGAGGAACTGAGGCATGTAACATTGTTTCAACTATCGTTATAAACAAATAAGGAAGCACATCATTCATGTTGTCGTGGGCACCCAAAGACCGAGAACTTCAGACGGACATATAACTTGTCTATATGCTGGTACCCAAGCTTGATTACTGAGTCAATAAGAGGGGATCTAGAAGCATTTTTCCTTGGCAATCATTCAACCATAGAATCCACCGGTGCAGACGGGGATTTGAGAGATTTTCTTTTGCTTTTACCTACAAAACAGATATCATAAATTAACTGTTTTATAAGCACACTTCCTGAAGTTCAAAATCATTTTTTTATCAGAAGTGACTTGGAAAATGATTTTTTTCTTGAGGCAAACAACTTGGATATGCTAAACAAACACATTGAGAAAATAAAATATCTTTCCGGCTTTCTAGTTTAAGAACAGTAACCTGTACATCCACCAATATCAGAATAAAAGCAAACACACCAACAATTATAGAAAGCAAAAGTGAGCTACTTAAAAGAAAATATTTCAACAAAAATCGTCATAAAAAAAATTAATTTTATCCAGCCAGAAAAATCTCCTCCACATTTAGATTAGTGCAACATCCCATCCATGTCTCAGCGGTGGAATTGAATGTCCCAGCAACAAGATACAGTGTTAAGAGTGTTGCACCCTGTCTTTGTTAGTCTAAAACAAAATTAAATCCAGGTTTCACTTGCTCAGCTAGAAATGGTATTGAAGTCAACACCAGGTTAGTGGCAGCAGTACTGCCAAATCCGATCTGGGGCTTAATTTCAGGAAGCATGGCATGGGAGGTGCTTGGTAGGTAACTAAAGATCATCCTGCATTGGGTATGCAACTTGTTTGTTGGCCTAATAGCACTCGATTTATGTACCACTTAAAAAGAGAAACAAATGAAGTGCAGCCATATGTGGTAAATATATCTATCAACTAAATACTAATTGAGAATAAAATCATCCTTCACAATATCCCTGGTCCTCATGTGTAGGATAATTAATAATCTAAAATTTCCTCATTAATATCTCTTATTCTTTTAGCTCCTATAAGCACATGTGTTAAAAAGGGATGGCCAACTAGAGAAAGGAGACCAGCAAAGACAATATAACTAACATTAAAAACCAAAATTCCAAGCATTCTTTGATCATACAAGTCTGTCTTCATCTATATTTAGAAAATGTACAATGTACTTCATTAGTAACTTTTTCATCCAGGTGAGTTACATGCTTAGGTATCCACTGTTTTTAATCTTCTCAAGATGATGGGAGAAATGGCTTTCTTGTTGTCAGAGACAATATGGAACTTTTGCAAAAAAAGGAACAATAAACCTTAGCATGGAGCTAATTACTGGTTTCATTTGAGCAGAGACAATGACATCAGTAACCTTAGAACTAAATCCATTTGTTGTTTGATATGTCAAGCAACCAGCAAATATTTGATGACAAAATGAGCAAGTGCTTGCCAAAGAAAGACAGTCTTGATACTTGATACAAATATAGCACAAGTATATTCAATATTGTTTTAGGTAAGAAAATTAGCCTGCAATAAAATTTCTGAGTGACATCAGAAGAGTACAATTGCAAAATCACGTACACTAAAATCTCTTATGTATCACCATAATTTCAAAATCTACAATTTTGGATGACTCAGCGTAAATTAGGTTCAGTTAAAGGACTTGCCTTTGCCTCTTGATCGTTTGAGTTTTAACATGGAACCCTTCTTCAAATGAAACTTCACCTTAGGCTTCATGCTGGTGCCCTCAGAAGACCCTAAGGAAAATTACAAAGAGCAGCTATATTTCAGAAAATAGTAGATATAAGTCATCTAACGTCAGCATAAACTTCTATGGTGTATGGTAAAAGATGACCAAGTCTAATCATCTACTCAAAGTAAGGCAAAAAGACTAAATTCTATACACATTAGTCAACTACTCCTAGCAAAGCTAGAATGGTGGATTTTGCTTTCACATGAACACAAACTCTTGATGCTTCACTTCATGCTTGTTACAGATGCAAGATAGGCTATTGCCGAAGGGAAAAACAAGTGAGGTTATATTTTCCTTTGGTTGTTCTTGTGCTAGAGGCCACTATGAATAGGCAGACTAAGTGCACAATATAATGGGCAACCAAGTCAGATATTAGCATGAAATCTAACGCATACTCAACCATGTAGTTGAGATAAACTTGGTTGATTGGAAGCATGAATATGAACTGGCACCACAAGCATCTCGAAGAAAGTGCAAAGCAAGGCTTATAAAGGAGAAAAGAATACAGAAAGGGAAAAGGAGAAAACAGTTCACTTGAAACAGATGATATGTCCACATAATCATGCACATATACTCCCTTGCTCATGAAAAAGGAAGGCAAAAAAAAAAAGAAAACCTGTCCTAAACTAGATCAACCATTGCAATATCTTGTGATTCTGTGGGCGAATAATCTGTTTTTTACTTGCAACATCCAATTTCAGCTTGATCCAATAAATTGAAATGATAAGCAATTTAATATAATTCCACTAATGTGTCCTACTTTAGGTGAATGTGTGGAGTTACTAAGGAGAAATTCAATCTTTTTTTTTTCATTCATGAACAATTAGGCATAATACAGACAGAGATAAAACAAGGGGATCATTTAACATGGTATGAACATTTATAAAGGAAACCTGTAGTTGGACTTAGATTAGGTGAGAAAATTATTATTAATAGTGAGAAAAGGTAGAGAGAGACCTAAGAATACTTTGCTAGAAGCTATAAATAGAGATTTAGTTGCTCCTAATTTAACTAACAATATCACCTTGTACAGAAATCAACGACTTCAAAAGATCTAAGTGAGACATTGTGGCCAATAATATTATAGGACGAACATATCTAGTTGGTGAAACTTTTTGCATGATGTGAGTGATCATAATACTTATTTAAGGTGAAAAAAATCGAAATCATCCTTCGAACCCAGCTTCTATGACAACAAAACAACAGAAATAGCACATGTAAACGTGCAAAGCATTTCCATCAGTAATCTATTATGGACAAAGAAGACGTTCAAGACAGCTATAAATGACGTCCATTAGTATTTAGTAACTCTTACTAAACGCCAAAAAAAACATTATCCGAGTGAATTGCTCACCCTCAGCCACCGCCATCTCGACGTCCTCCATTGTGACCAGACCCTTCTCCATCGCCTCCTTCTGTTCCTGGTCGATCACAAGATTTGAGCTTTTAACAACGACAGAAGTTTCCGAGGCGTAATTTTTTATGAAGCATATAATTTTAAGTCGATCAAAAACTCACCCTCCGCCATTTCTTGAAGAGCTTCCGCTTGCGCTTGCCGGAGACGGAGACGGGGGGAGTTCGCAGCTTCAGCTTTCTGGTGTTGGGATCCCCATGCACCGCCCGCTTCCGATCCTGGACGCTCGCCCTCCGCTGCTTCTGGATCACATTAAATTTCGCCATAACGATCGACAACAGCTAAAACCCTAACCCTCCGGCGGCGCCCCCGCAGTTAAAAGAGAGGAGAAAACCCTATCGGCTAATCGCGCCGTGTACATATAGTGGTTTAGTACTTCAATTTCTCTTGAATAATTGGTATTATTCTTAACCGCCCAAAGTGAGCCCTCATTGCCTGTCTACGCGCAGACAGGTTCCACGGGTTTCGATTGGTAGACTCGGGCGGGACCACACCCAGTTAAATAATTTCTATGATTTTAAATCAGGAGAAAAAGAAAATTGGGCATTCTCCACAATATTTTAAAGTATTATTTTATCGGATATTTTATTCAAAAATCTAAGTTACTAATAGTTCGTCGGAATATACCAACAACTATTAGTATATTATTACACACTATCTTGAATTTGGGTGTCCAAATTCAAGATTATGAAGCATGTTTTGCCTCACAGAATTCAACCTCTCAATGTAATATTAAGACGATGGCGAGAAAAATCTGAGATTTACGAGTTTGATTCCAGCTAGTAAATTAAGACATGTCAAATTACAATGACAACAAAGCAAAGAAATGACAAAAGCATCATCCACCACAAGAGATGATGGAACAGTAGAACAACACCTATATCTCACTTTAACAAAAGCACTACTCTCATGTGTAAACTCTTATACAAGAGTGAAAATACTGTTCCAAGATTAAGTACGAGAAGAGATTAAAATAAAGTGAAAAGTAGAACGATCGATTTCATGACATATTAATATACAACTCCATGAAAAGAATTCCTGCGTCCATGTATCTTGAATGTTTGAAATTTTTGCACCACAAAGAAAGTGAACTCTTTTCCTTGTATCTTCACTGCTGCCCTCTGAAGTACATATAAACTTTCTGCAGGAATTTGCACTCTGATAAGTCACCATGAAAAGAGCCAAGATGATATACATAGTTACATGCATCTAATTATGTGAAGCTATTGTGTCGCTCCAGAGTATTTTTGTTGAACAAAGTGGTGAGCATATTCGAAGTTTCATATAGGATGTGGACGGGCGAGGAACACCAATGATAACGAGAGATGGGCAACAGAAAAAGCATATCAAAACAGCATAATTATACAAGTTGGATAATTCAATGTCCTTTTTCTTCATACATGAATCCACTTAGAAGTGGAGGATAATATGAAAAGAAAAAAAAACATTGCATATTTAAAGTTGAAAAATATGGAAAATCAACAAAAAGAAACCTAGTACCAATCTTAGCCATCATAGTTACAGTTCCATCTTTGGTTCTTGTGTATGGATTAATTATGTGGTCAGATGTGTCCATGCTTTACTAGAATGAAGGATATGGACCAATTCTGTATCGTACAAAAAACTTTTGCAGAACACAGAATACCACATGGAAATTAGTCCAGATAGCTAAAATCAGCTAGTCAAAATAACAGGAATTTCAAAGAGAGAAGCAAAATGAAGTACAAGAATGCATCTGCAGATTTATAATGCATGCACCTAAACTATTCTTCTGTATCCGATATGGTTCTAGCACAAACCTGAAGTACCCACAAGCTTATAAGTATCTCTAAGCAAAACAAACCAAAGCCAACCAGGTAGAAGATCTGTAATCAATACAACACAGATTAGCTTTATAATAAATAGACTTGGAAAATCTTGAGAATATAGCAAGCACATGAAGTTGGAAATGAGTTCCAGAATGAAAAACACAATAAGCAAGACTAACAAATGAAAACAGTATATACGCTTATACATCCTACACCATAAGTATCTGAAGTTGGAAATGCAGAGGCATCAACTCACCCCAACCAACGCATGATCTGAGAAGGTATCAATTGCTGCAAGGATTCCCCTGATAAAACAGAAAACAAAAAAAGACATCAAGACAGTAGCATGGTTCAGATTGATGGCATAAACAATCTAAATCATCTATGCTATTCAATCTAAAGAAAATATTGTGACAATAAAGAATAACATCCTATGCATTGTAAACTATTTGGATAAATAATTCTTCTCCAGTACTTCCTCATCTACCGTAGGTACCACAAAAGATCAAGATCACAAACTAGGATCCACTGTGATGCAATATTGTGACTTCAGAAAAGGAACAAATTAGACTGCTTGATTGTGATAGTGAAGCCAACATCATGAATTTTAATTGAAGAAAAACCAATTGTTGTTTACCAGATAAATGAGCTAAAATTCACACAAAACTCTGGTTGATAAAGACATATAAGCATGGATGGAATTAAAAACAACAAATTACTTGATAATCAAGAAACATTAGTCCACTCCTTTCAACTCTCCAGTTAAGCAGGCCAGACACTGAGGCACATTCTCATGCATACACATTAATCAGACATCACAAAAATAGTAAAAAAAAATCAGAATGAAGATGCCAAAATTCTGTAGCTCAAAACAGTGCTTCAATATGAATTTCAGGCATTGTGCATGCAAGGCAAAAATTTGATGCAAAAAACATACAGATGAAAATTATGGCATGGAATACAGGAGGTCAGACAGATGGCAATGAAGAAGTCATAAAGAGAAGATTACTGGACAAAGCCAAGATAGAAGTCTGTTTCCATTAACAACACATCATACATAACCCAAGATTTCAAAGCCTACCAAGTATCAACACTCTAGTTACATATTTCATTAGCCCAATTAATTAAATTATACTCCAAATAAGAAACTTAAGAAAGAAAGATCTCTTGTTCAAGATTTTAATTCTAACTATCAAATTCTCGAAGTTTAAAATAATACATTAGCATCAAGCCTTGACCACAATAATCCATAAAGCATTGTCTTTAGTCATGAAGTCTTGATAGGGATAGATAACATCAAAATTAGGCTTCCCATATGAGGAAATCTAGAAAATAAACGCATGAGAAGCAAAATTTTCAAAATCAAATCACAACAATAGGGTTGATCTGTCACAAAATTAAGAACCAGGAAATAAGACTTACGTTAATGACTTCCCATGGAACACAATTGGAGGAGCAATGGCAGCAAGGATACAAAAACCAATGTGGATCTGCACATGATGTTGTCACTAACATAAATAAGAAATCAACAAAGGCTTAAAGAGTACATTTGCAAGAAAACTGGTCAAAAATAATTACCAGGTAGAATAGGAAAAACCAACCAAACTTAAATGCACTGTTAGTCCTGCTTGACAAAAGAAACAACTGAGAAACAAGGAAGAGGCACAGAAACTTATGCAGCTACAAAAGAATTCTGACTCCAAAAATCATGGTGGCACAAATTAAGTTTTGAAACTTTGTTGTTAAAGCATGTTCTAATTTGATGGTTTAAATTTTAGACCCTTAATTTATGAACAATAACATTAAGAATGGCCACAGGATCGTCCTTTCAAGTAAAAGGCAAGAATAGTAGGATATGAAGAACAAATGTCATAAGCATGAAAGAAGAATAAAAAAAGCTGCTAAAGAAAGCTAGAGGGTAAAAAGCAGAAGTTTTTTTTCCATATATATTAACTCTTTATTGTAGAAAAACTACTCAGGAATTTTTTATTGCCAGCAGGTACCATGCCTAAAATCCAGCACAGTGCATGGCATACAAAATTGTACAGCAGTAGTCTCATGTCAACTGGCACCAGAAAAGCAGAATAAAATGCATATGTCAATGCAGCCTGGCGCAGCATGATAAACCATGCGGGTACTCAACATGGCTTCTCCTTCTAACTCAGTATATTAAAGATACAGTAAGCACTCCATTTTGTAATATGACTATGTTGGTTCACAAAGATACACAGCTTATCATATAACTAACAGGACAAGATAACTAGCATTATTACCTTGTTGCACACAAATTTACAGTTTAATAAATAACCAATAAGACTTGATCACTAGCCATGTAACATCAAGTAGTAAATATTATTTTATTTTTATATTAAGTTTGGGTATTGAGTTTCAAATGACTGACAGATCCAAGTACTACAATTTTACAAAGTACGTATCTTCACAAACAGAAATAAGCCATCACTCCAAGTAACGTAAGATTTGCTAGAAGGATCCTTTTCTTCAGTTCAGATAGTAGTGAGGTTAACATTCTCTTATCGAGGACTTGTCCTTACAGAAAAAGACTGTGAAACTCTTGGAATTCATTAACAAACTTGTTCAAACTTCAAAGGTCTGACCCTTCGAGTAAAATGTCTCACGGGTACCTAATCATAAAGATATTAGTCTGCATAGTCAGGTATTGAGAGTAAAAGTATGTTGAACGAGGGCTTTTATGTTTGATACCGATTGAATTTGGCACTTATAGCCCATTGATATTGTCATCTACAGCTTTCAAAACGAAAGCCACTTAAAAATCAAAACATTTTTAGAAAATACAATCATCTATAAATCTGCATATTATATAAAAAAATGTTGATTATGGGTAGCCTACCTCATTGCGCGATACAAAGGTCTGTACCAAAGGACGTACGAAAGAGGACATCCAAGCAAAGCATAGATAATTGCAAGGAAGAAGATTTTGACACCTGTAGATTAAGAACATTACAACATTTTGCAAAGGGCAAAGTAGAAGCATTGTGCAAGAAGCAAGACTAAGTAATAGCAAATTGCAGACACATTGTTTGAAGAAAGAATCTTTACCTCCTCCTCTAATCCAGCAAACAATCACAGCAATAACATTCCATGATAGACAGAGGACAATGCCTGCAATAAACAATGCCGGCAACAACTCTCCATGATTGAAGATTCATTACTATATACCGCATTTATGATATTATTAAGCAAGCAGACCAACAATATTTTACCAACAGTTTTGAGTATCCAGTCTCAAAGCTTCATATGGTCTAAAGAATCAGATGTCATCATGACAAAGTTTACTACTTGAAACCAATATGCCAAAACCCGAAAGCATTGCAGGTTAACAAAGAGTCAAGTAACGCAGATCAAAATAGGATACCAAGTGAGAATATTAATGAATAGATAATCGGTTCAACTTAGTATGGTCCACTATGAAACTAATGCATTGGTTTTTCTCAATTCAAATTAATTTGGAAAGTTTTCTAAAAATATGGAACTTATAAAACACAGACAAATATCTGAAAGAAAATAGTCATAATTTGCAGTAAATTATTATGTAAGATCCATCTTGTATACAACTAAACAAAGCTACATTGATTAAAATGCCATATGACTGAAACTCAAACAGCCTATGCTGCTTCGTATGAGTCAAAGTCACAATGTAAATCCATCAAGTTCCCTACATCCATCGAAACTACAACTTCATATGTGCTTAGTACGATTTGAAATAGGGAGAGTAACTAAAAGAATTTCCTACATCCATCCAAAGTTCCAAACTACAACTTCATATGTGCTTAATAGGATTAAAAATGGGGAGATATTACCATTTCAGAAAAGATGAACTTTAAACTAGTATTGATTAGATTTTGAGTATTTAAAAAAAAAATGATGATAGTTTGGAGATTAAGGCACCTTTGACTTTGAAACTTAAAAAGTTTTACTTCCATCAAACAAAAACTAGTTACAACATTCAACCTAGTAACAATCAGAACATTGTCCTTTTATGTTTTACAACCTCTAAATCTCAAGGCAGTCAAGTTGATAAAACCATATCACTTATTTACATATACCAACACCATAAATTCAAGTGTCAAACAACTGAAAAAAAGAAAAGATGGCATTCCAAGTCGTGTGAAATTTTCTTTAAGTAAGAATATCAAAAAACCATTCAGAAGTAATAGGATGACATTCGGTGTCAAAGTAAAACTTACTCAATATAATATATATGTATATGAGATAAATACCAAAGACATAATATAATAGAGCCTACGAATAAAACAATATACTAAAACGAAGAATTTAGCTCATTGTTAGTTACAAAAGAGTTAAAAAGAACAATTACGATGTAACAGATGTAGCTACCTACCTAGCCAACTAGCAAATGCTAGGTATTGCAACCTCTGAGCATGGACTGGGATTTCCTTGGCTATATCATGGTGAATGATAGGAAAAAATGATGGCCAGTTCTTATCTTCAACAGTAACACCAGCTGAATCAAGAGGTGTTGAAGCCACAAATTACCATCAATATATTTTTGATGTATAAGTAGCCTATCAATCAAGTAAAACTGATTTATTATCCACATACCTCTTGTCAATGAATCCTCCCTTCGTTTAATGTCCTGTGAGAGCAATTAACATACATCTAAGATAAGTTAGATCTACATGACAAAAAGGCTTGATCACAGACTAGGAATGCGATATGGATGTGAATTGGTCATGAAAACGAAAAATTAAAAAAATAACAATAACAATCAAGAAAAAAAATACTATTGAATTATAACTACCATTTCCCTCCTTTTCAGGTTCTCTTCCCATGCAGCAAGTTCCGTCTCGCTTTTCTTTGCATCCTGCACCGACACACAAACATGTTATCTCGTTAATCGGTGAGTTAGAGAACAATAGTATCTTATGATGTGCTGATGTACATTCACTGTGTCCAATGGTATGTCGACTGTCGCATCATTCTTGTTCCCAAATCCAAAGGCTTTTGATGCCAGTGTAGACAGTCGAGAATTAGATCCAGGAGCAGAACCGGACTGCAAAAGAAAGCACCACATTGGACGTCATTAGACCCAAAAGAAAACTGAGGCAACGGATCTACCAAATAGGGGTAGAAACGCTAATCTCAACAAGAACGGCAATTTTACGTGCCCGTCCTGATGAATCTTGTGACAAACCAATTCGCCTCCAGAAATTGTGCGAACTCACGAAGATCTAAGTTATCAACTAGGGTTTTCTTGAGGGTTTCCCGATACAAGAAGGTCCAAATGGGGTGCTGCCGAAAGAAGCTACAGATCTTTCGATGCCAACAGAATACGCAGAATCTCAGACTAAAATTGACCCACGAAGCCCTAGAAAACGATAAAAACCAAAACAAGATCATCAAAAAGAGAGGGAAAAGTGATTGGATTACCGCGAACGGGTTCACGTCCTCTTCGTCGAACGGATTGGGATCGCGAGACATCGTCTACCGATCTGAGAGGAGAACAGGGTATTCCAACGAGCTCCCTCTCTCCCTCGCTCTCTCCTTTTTGCTCTATCGATGCTCCCTTTCTTGGCAGCGAAGCAGCCGACGAAGTGAGCAGGCGAATCCGGCGTTGGTTGGCTTTTGAGTGGGACGCCGGCCTCCCCCTCGACCTTTTCGATTCGATGGGACGATCCCAACAACTAGCCCTATATAATTACATAATAACACAAATGCCACTAGGAGATATTGACGGACACCGCACGAGACGGAGTGACGGCGGGGTTGAAAGAGAAGGGTAAACATGCCATTTTACTTCGCTTTAGTGGGTTGGGTGCACAACTCATTATCATCAAGCGGGCTTCATCTCACCTAATTGTCCAAAGTAAATAAGAGTTATGCCGACCAGCAATTTGGGGTTTTATTTAGATTATCATCTATAAATTAAGATCCTTAATTAAATCAAGAGCGACAAAATCACTGCAAATATTATACAATCCTGACTACAAAAATTCTCGATATATTAGACGTTAATGTTCATAAATTCTAGTTGTGATTTTCTAATAATTCTTTGCAACCTCGATTATATTTACATTATATATATATATATATATATATATATATGTATATATATATTGTAGTCAAGTTGATGATGTCATATTGGTCCCTGATTAGATAAGTACATATTGATCTATATCAATATATCATATGGTATACTATACACTAGTATGTATTAATGATTTGAGGAGGAAGAGATGATGAAGGAAAAGAAGAAAGGAGAGAAAATAGTAGAGGAATAGAAAAAGAAGAAAGCATAGTCGATGAAACAATGGACAATGCCGATAACACGAGACGAAATAAGTGAAAGGGCTCATGTTTGGACGAAGAGGGCGATAAGCATTAGCACGAGACGAAAATAGATGAAAGAGCCTATTTGGACAAAAAAAAAGGTTAAGTTCACATATATTTATTTAACATATAATTTTTTAATAATTCAGATCGGACTGCTATATTTATTTAACATATATTTTTTTAATAATTCAGATCGGACTGCTGAAATGACGATGATCCATATATTGATACACACCTGACCTAAACAAGTACATACAACAAGTTTCGTATCGATCCACCATCAAACATTAGTTAGTTATTAGAATAATAGAGCTTAAATGTTCTTCCATCAAAGTCATCATCATTTCATCCCCTAATTTAATGTTGAAATATGAGTATACATAATGCAAAAAATTATCGGTAAAAACTATTAAAGAGTAGAAGCCGTCGGCTTCAAATTAAATGTTCTTCCTATCACGCACCCTTTCATTTGACAGAGGTTGATGAAAGTTGATGATCTGATCGTAACTCAATCCTGCCAATCACGGACAACACTGTTAGTAATCCCCGGAATTATCTGACTCAAATGAGTCACAGGAAGATGACAAGTCACAGGACAATTCCATTGTACCTGACTCGAATGAGTTAGAAATGAACCCACAATTGACAACAGTTTTGATGAATGAGATGAGAAAACAGAGCCAATACATGTTTGGAGATTGAACCTCATAAACCTTGGCAACATCATGTTGTGTAAGTTTCACATCTTGCCAACACTCATGGACACCTGCATATCTCTATTTTTGGGTTCTTCCACCATAAGGGAACTAATTCATTACAATTCAAGATTAATACCGCATTGTACAGAAGGAAAAAAGAAAAAGGAATAAATCATTAGAAGAGACTTCAGAAACCAGAGAAATCTAACTGAATTATACACCAAATGACTGCAAGACTGACAATATACACAACATTACAATCTAGGAGGGCTTGAGTTTGATCATTCGTGCCTGATAAACGGTGAGGCACTCACTTCCGTGGTGCTATAAAACGAGTCTTCAAGGTAATAGGTCTCCTCTTTCTCGTCGGCCCACTTGAGCACCTCTCGTATATACTTGAAGGCCTCGTCCACTGTCGGACGATCGCGACCCCGCCCTTGCCATACAAACAACTTGCGGTTGGTGAAGGAGAAATATAGCTCTTTAAACTTCATGGCGATGTAATAGTAGGCCTGTTGGGCTAGTGACTGGTTGTTATGGTGAATCCTCACTGGGGAGAATTCACTGAGCCACTCGCAAGCAGACAAGGGTACACGGTCTATCTTCTCTTCAAACAAGTCATACTTGTTGAGTACAAGAACAAATGGAGTGTCACGAAAGCATGGTTGCCTGGTTAAAAACAATTCAAATATCAAGATGACTGAAAGTATTATGACTGTGCATGATAATGACTATGGGGTGGGATCACTATCCTCCTACATTTAAAATCCAATTGGAAAACCTAAGTATCTTGTCCTAATCCTTAACTTCAAATGTATTTCTAATCACCAAGAAATGTTAAACATATGAGGAGACTAGGCTCTTCACTAAGTAACCCATATGACATCTCCACTAACTTAAACAAGAATTTTCTAGAAAGGGAATCAAAACCTGATTGTTGCCTCGAACAACTCCTTGCTTTGCACCATCTTATTCTGGAGAGGCTTATTGCTCCCATTAACAGGAGCTGCCAACTGGTCGTAGTCACTAAGTGCCACACAAAATATTACTAGGCGGACATCCTCAAACATTTCCACCCACTTGCAGCCCTCATTCATCCCCTTGACACTTACTCTAATCAGCTGGTATCTGATAAAGAAAAGATGAGCAACAAAAGAAAAAGAGAGAGTAACTGCAGCAGAAACATAGAACAAGAATAAGAATGCAAAAGTAGAGAAACAAAATTTGCATACACATAAAAATAAGCAGAATATACATCCAAATATCTGTACAGGACATTTTTACCAGCGAACTCAAAGACAAAATATCTCTCACACATGTGAGATCAGATTACACCATGTTGAACCATAATGGAGGTGGCGACGTATGGAAAAGCCTTTTTTTTTGGACAACTCCATGCTATGAACAACAATTTTATTCATTACTATATACATGAAAACATATGAAGTTGAACATCTAGGGAGTTTTGTTTATTGCTTGCATATAGCATATAGTAAATTTTCCAAGTGCAGTTTGTGAAATTTTAATGTGGCAGCCAAGTCTGATCCGGCACGAGGTTACTTAAAAGTACCACCACTAACCTTGACAAAGATGAACATTCAGAGGCAAAGAATGGGGCTTTATGTTTTTATTTGCTTTCTTCGCTTGTGTTTCTTTCTGTATCATGCTTAGAGTAATAATCCTTAATATTACTTTTAGATATTATTTCTGGTTATAAGCATGGTTAAGACAAATATGAATTTAACAGACTAACATAATGAAACAACTATCACATTATGATTACTGCTGACGTAGCTGATAACAATAGCAACAAAAACAGATAATAGAGGAGACGGATTACTTAGTAAGTGGTTGGGAATGAGTGTCAGGATTGTCATTATAGAGTTCTGACATTGGACTGTGGTCATCAAGTGAGAACTCAATAAATGCCAACCCATTCCCTTGAGTTACTCCTTCAGCATACAGTATATCTTTCTCTGAAGGTTCGTACTCATTGCTTGATACCTCAACTGCCTGCAAGAAAAAATTGATGTTTGTATGCACTTAAATCCTTGCAAAGTTCATGACAAGTTAAACCTGGAATAGAGACATTGATAATGTTGTATACAAACAATGTTTTCAGTTCTATCATGACCAACTTAGTAAAATTTACCAACACAGAATTAAAAAATTGTACTTCAAGTAGACTTCTACAACTTAACTTGATCCAGGACTCCTAAATTTTCCAGGGACAACACAATAGAAGAACTTATCCTACCTGGCTTTGCTATTTACTTCTTTTTACAGGATGGGTGGCTCTGGAAGCAAGGCAAAACATATCTTGAATTATAATTCTTTCTCAAGTTAAACCACGGTGGGTACTTCCAATACACAAATTATGGTGGAAGGCAGTTTATAGTAATGCTTGGTATCATTGAATAAAATAATTTTAAAAAATCATAATATAGAAAACTGTACTGGCATTGAGTTATATGTTTCGGTACTTGGTTAGACTAGTAAAATTCTCGCTTCAGAGCTCACTCCAGAGTAGATTTTGGTAATTTATACTTTTATTGAACACACTTTTATGGTTTTCAAAAGTATGAAAACCGGATATGGGATTACCATTCTCCTTGGTAAACTATGAAAATTTAACATAATCTCAATTTTACATTGGTATAAAGGAAAATGGTTTGGAAGAGACATGTAAGTTCTTGGATGAAAAGTTGGAAATTTTAAGAACCAAAATGATAAGGTCAGTAAAAAATGAAGGCTATCATAGTCAATGACTCAAGTGCCCTTGTCTCTCAGGCATCTCATCTGAGAAATCTTGATCCAAAACATATTAAGATCACAGTGGGGATGGGGGTTTTGTGTCTGTGTCTGTCATCGGTGTGGGGGCTTGGAATTTGGATCATGTCACAGTTGCATGTTAAAAAGGCTGAACATACCTTTGGACCGTGTTACAGTTGCATGTTTAAAAGGTTGAGCATACCTTTGGACCACATTACAGTTGCATTTTTTTTATTACGGTTGCATGTTAAAAAGTTTGAACATTATAACTAATTCAGTTCAGTTTAACCATGTACTAGTTAATATATATGGTTCGTGTACTTAGAGCTTTGACAACTCTTCAAGTCGCCACCCCACTTCTAATCAAAAGGAAGGCCAAACAAGAGGACTGCCAATTGCTGTAGGTAAGTGTTATGCACATTTGTCATAAGAACTACAGCTAATAATATTTCACTTCTGCAATCTCATAAGAACTATCTGATCCATTTGCTAGCTTTACTATTCTAGCATGTAACTAGAAAAAAAGGAGTATGGCTAATTGTGAAGTGCTAAGTTAATATAAGGAAGCTAGCAGTAAATCAATCAAACTAAACAATTTTATCCTTTAAAACAGAAGAAGACAAATGCATTATTGAACTTTAACTGACATCACATGCTAAATATTTTGGAAGCAAAACAACTTAAAATGGTACGAATCAATACCCTGCTCAAGAAGTATTCAGCAATATCTGGAAGAAAATGGAGCTCATTTCTTCTCTTATATGTTTCTTGTATGGCAGGCTCTCTCCACATCTCATCAACCAATGGAGCGTATTCACGTGTTGCAGCAGGAAAAAAGGCATCCAAGTCTCCCATGGCGACGATGTCTAAAAGCCAATCAGAGAACTGCTTTAACCTTCCATTTATCGAGTAGACACATTGATTTATCTGCTGAGCTCCATTTTCATCTTGACCTGGAAATCCTGCAACATGAATTGTTGTAACCATTTATATGGGACTCAATGAGCAAATAAGTATCTTACCTACCACAAAGAAGTACCAAGAGAAGAAAATAAAGACTAAAGTAGGATCAATATAAACCAAGGTTTGCAATACCACCTGGTATGGTAAGCTTACCTACTTTTTCTTCATAGTGCCATATATATGGTCTGTATTGTCCATTAGCAAAATATGCTTGTGTATCATTTTTGGGTTTAATAAAAACCTTTTTTTTTTTGCTTTAGTCAAGAAAACTGTAGTTCCATCAAGAGATAAACAAAATAAATCTTCAAGACTACTAGCTTTAGGAACTGAAGTTATGAGTCCTGCCAACGTCCTTCTAGAAAGTTATGTATTACTGTATTATTTCTATTGAAGAATGTCTCTTTAAAGTGAACACCAGTTTACCCTGATGGGCATGTTTGCATATCTATTCTTCATCCCCCTAGTGATGATCCAAATGGTTACGACCTTGCAAGTGAACGTTGGACACCTGTGCCCTATGCATTATTATGCATGGCTCAAATGCATATGATCCAAATATTGAGATAAAAAAGATTCACATTTCCTTGATCAATACCAAAACAACACCCTCGGGCGCCACTCTCTGCATCTTCCCAATAGAGCCGCCAACCCTTATTGAGCCTCCCCAACAGACCCCCTCCCCTCTGCGCACCCCCCATTGTCACTCTCTGCTTCTTCCACCCCACCCTCCTCTCTCTCTCTCTCTCTCTCTCTCTCTCTCTCTCTCTCTCTCTCTCTCTCTCTCTTTGTGCTTCCTCCAACAGCCCAGTTTCTTCCACGGCAGCCCCTGCTTCTCTCCCAGCAGCCTCCCCTTCTCTAGTTCTTTCTCTCCCAACAGCCCCCTGCTTCTGCCCCCGACTTCTTTCTCATCCCAACATCCCCATCTGACTTCCTCCTGAATTTAATAAAACGGTAGTTTTTGTTAATAATAGCTAACATTTGTTAATTATTCATGGACTCTTGATTTTAATCTTCTTTTGTTCTGTTATCTTGTTGTAAGATGTGAAAAATGTAGTACTTTGATGCCTCAGTTAAACAAATGTAATTCGATGTCTTAGTGCTGATATTTTTGTATATAAAATGATGAAGCTCATGTATTGTCTAATTTTCTTAATTGTCTTTATCCTTAATTATATTTTAATAATTTTTATATAAAAATATTTTTTAAAAAAAATTTACTCTTAATGAGTGCCTTGAGTGTTTTGGAATCTTGGCATCTTTTAGTGCCTAGCACCTTTAACAACACTGCTATTGGATCTCTACCACCTTAGATAGGGCCTGTACTATGCCAAACAATTTCATTTTTGATTTTTCATGATTTTTTCAAAATTCAATAAGTAACGACGTATCAACACTTGGTACATGGATATACATTGTTACAGACCGATATGGTACCGATCCAAGCCCTGATCAGTTATACGCTACTGGTACACAAGACTGCGAACAATGATATAAACTACTAAAAACTAACAAGAGCCTGGTCTAGGCTACTACAGTTTGGAAAAGTACCCTAGTGTTTATATTAGCTTTTAGAGTGGCAATAGATGAAGTGAGAGAAAAGAAAAAGTTAGTGTAATTGAGGCTGAGAGCAACGAAAGCTCAAGTCTAACAAAGGACACTCAAGATTTTTAATGACCAAAAAAGGAAGACAAGGATATTGTGTTAGCATAAAATAAGTGTGTCCTTGACCCTAGGCCTAGGTGGCAAGCAAAATCCGTTAGTGGCTTAGTGCCTTTCTCAAAGTATGATATATCTGACTTTGAGTGCTTTGCAACCATTAGTCAGAATACTTAATGTCTCTTCATCAGGAATATGATAATTCAACATAGTAGGTCTGGAATTCAAAGTTATTTTTTTTTTTAATAGCAGTAAGATGATTCAGTGATGTATTTAGCCTGTTCTGAGTCATAGTTGCTAAAATTTGTGTGGAAAGAAGTACACTGTTATACAAATGGCCTAAATACTTTTTTGCGTGTTCATCCATATGTGAAATGACACAATGCTCATATGATGTTGTTTAGAGTAATCAATATTTTTTCAATATGCAATTCTACAATATCATGAAACCAAGCCATATTGGCGTAGCAAACAAGTATTGAGAACTATAATAACATCATAATTCACAACCAAATACATAAATGAGTATTGCATGCTCAACTATCTTATTAACAGATGCAAGACTCAATGGCACTTGTTAGCTTGATGGATAGGTATATTATACATCGTCATGACTCACAACAACCAACTTCGTGCCATCTAGCTTGTGAAGGCAATCTCAATGTCAAGGCCTCATAGCAATAGAAGAAGGAAAAAAAATGTGGTGCTCATGTGTTAGGGTAAATGAAAATTAGAACAGACTAAACTAACAAGAAGCAACATTAGACAGTGGTCTGCAAAAATGACAAGTGAAAGTTATTTATGCATGTTACCTTGAGTAAGATGTTGATCATATGAGCCTGTTCCTTTTGGTTTAACTAAAGCTAAAGCCTCCTCCTCAAAGCGCTCTCGGCCCTCGAGTAAAATACTAAGATATTTGTACATATTGCTTTGTATCATTAGCTTGATATTCTCCAATTCTTCTTGAGAAAACTTTTTTCCATACAAAAACTTTGCCTGCTCAAGCGTTGAACCATCACAAGGAAGCCCAACTAAGTCACATATATATGACAAAAACAGTCTATCAAGTTAATCCAATTCATCATGAAGTTCAGAAAAATGTGTTAGGTGCCTGAACTTTATGATAGTTGTCGCTTTCTAAAACAAAACACCAAGTCACCAAAATCCACTAGTGTCTACTAAAGCATGAACAGAGTGAAACCTGCTCACTATAATTTTTTTAAATCTTGAGCTATGACCATAGATGTATGCCAGCGCAACTTCAAAAAGAAACTCTTCTTTGATCATAGCTCAAAAAGTAGCAAAGGATCTGAACTAGAAAATCCATAGAAATTTATGGGTTTTGATGTACTTTTGACTTTAAAAATACATATTCTATACTTGATACTCGACAGTACCACAAAAGATAATGCAGGTGTTGTGAATCAACTATAGTGCAATGAAAAATGGAACTCACTTATAAGAAGATTAATACAGAAACACCAGTAAAAGAAAAAAACAAGGTTCTCAATTTCAGTTCGTACCAGTGTACCGAGCACTGCTTGGTAAGATACGTATCGGGTCATACCGACAGTATGCTCAAAAAGAGCTGAAAAACTTCCAAAAATATCTGGAGGTAAAGGTCCAAAAATATTGATACGCCTCAGTAAAGGTCAAAATCCGAGGCGTACCAATCGGTATACCTCAGTAATGATCAAAATCCGATGCGTACCGATCGGTACGCACTAGATTTCGATCGTTACCACCCAATACAGACCCCGCATCGCTCTTTACAGGGCCAAAACACCTGCACCGCCTAGTAGAGGGTGGTCCGCATACCGGTATCCTCTTGAACTGGTGTGTACCGCCCGTACCAGGCAGTACACATCAAAATTGAGAACCTTGGAAAAAAAAAAGAATGGTGGTGGAGAGATACTGAAATGAAGAGTGTCTTTATCACTTTTCTAATGCTTCACAGGAAAACTGATCTGTGTATAAATCCTAGGAACAGACAGAACAAGTTGAACCTATCTCACACAGAGGTTGCAAAAATGCAGCTCTCATTAGTACTGAAATCATGCTGCACTTGTATGAGGCCCATATGTCTCCTGAGCTAAAAGACAGCTCCTACTCACAAAACCAAACTAGAAAACAAGAATATACATGTATATTCGCATTATAATTCTAGAGGAAAATTCAGAAACTAATTTGACATAAATAACGCTTTTTTTAAGAAATACGCTAAACCTTCCCCTCAAATTGTAATAATATGTCATACATGACAAAAATATGCACACAGACTGTTATACTTCTTAGCTAGTAGCAACATCTACATAACAACAATGTACACAAACTTCGATTTAAGAAGAAAATTTTAAAAAGCATTTCATGCATGAAGATGCAGTTTTTAGAACCAAAACTCAAAAAAGTAATGACACATCATACTTTAAAAAAATATACAGACAGACTGCTACACCACTTTATCTAACAGCAAAATATGCATGAACAATAAATGGTTGCATTCCGGTATACCACATAGTTTAATGCTATTAGTACCACATTTGACTTGCATCAAATTTCCTTATATATAAGATCAAAATAATTCCAGAAAATCACAAATCACAATCCACTTAAAAGTTCAATCAGACCAGTAAGTTAGCTTAGCATACCTGTTTAAAGATTGTGCTTGTCCCAGACCACTGTGGTCCAAGAAGCAAAAGCTTTTGGATTCTTCTCTGTTCAAGGTAATCAGGTATAGTTCTGGGTACATAGGGAGCCTCATTTTTAAGTCCGTTTGGAACTGGATGTGGTACAGGTAAGGAAAACAAAGAACATGCCAATCTTGTTATTGTCTGTCAAGGAACAACACAGGAACAACATTAGAGCAACTGTTATCTCACTATCAGCTGTCAATGGATAACAAACCAAACTCATTTAGATGCATGAGAAAGAGAATCATTAAATATTACACATACCGATTCCCATATTTTTCCCCTGATATTATTTTGTCCTTCCTCCTCGTAACGACCATCATCGTACACCCAGAAATGTGTATCACGTGGACATTGCACATTAGCAAGCTGCAAGATTGGCATGCACTTAAAAATTAACAGCTGGAGAACCAAAGTGGAGATGGTGAAATCTCTTGTGAATGATGATGGTAAATGATGCACAGAAACAATTACAATATTATAGTTTTCCATAACAATCTACAGAACCCACATTTTGTCTTTTGGATTCTCACCCCGAAAGTTATAACAACTGATTTGGTAATATAGACAAGAAAGCGCATCATGAAATCCAGAGACATTGGAACAGAAAAGAAACACAACAATATGAAGCAAAAAGATCCTACCAAATGCAAGGACATATTGTCTCAGACAACAAAAAGAAAATTGATCGAATGCCACACAATCCAATAGTCACCAGAAGCTAACCAAGATCATGAAATTGCCCACAAACTATATCTTCTAAAATTATACTCAGTGGTTACACCATAAAGTTATTAAGATGGCTTCCAAATATATAGAAAAACAAAATACAACAGGAAAACGGTCAGTGAAACTTGACGCAGCTTTTAAAAGCACATAAATTTGTCTGTATCTTTAAAGGACAAACTGCCATAAATCTCCAATTTCTCACTACAAATTTCATTTCATAACTCGGTCTGAACTTCACAAAGCCATTCATGCTGGAACATGGGATTCGATGCATGAAAATGCAAGAGTCAGTGCACCTCATAGTATGCTGGCCATAAAGACCATGCATACAGTGTGGCAAATTCATTATACGTTGCAACACAAAATCAAACTATCTGTGATACCCAATGCCGAGCAATAAACATTTCAAGATATATTCAAAAATTTTCACTATACACATAAAAGTAACCAAGCTTCCGGATAGTCTGGTACTTGGATGAAAGGGCAGGTATCACCTTCAAATTATAATGGACCGAAAATTGAAGTATAAGTCCTCTTTTCTTACTTTTCTTTGTATACGCTTAGTATGATTAATAGAGGGAACTTTGGAAGGCTTCCCAAATTCTTTTGAACCTAAAGTATCTGCACTAGATAAATCTCTAAATCTTTCATTAGAGACAACTTACCAAACCTACAAATATCTACATTTTGCCAATTTGTATTACTTATGTCGCTAGAATTACTAAAGAAACAACATACAATGAAAACTCAAAGAAAGAAAAAGAAGAATATCATAAGGTAGTTAATTGAGTAAAGGAGCTCTTAGAATGCAAATGACGAATAAGTGGATATAGACTGATTAAAGTTCTACCTTTAACACCCTTAATTCAACTTTTGTGATCTCCCTGCCATTAATATAGACTAGGGTGTTTCCTTTGCTCGCATCAGACTGAAGCTTCCCGGTGAAATTCAAGTTAGAACTAATGATTCTATCAGGTTTCTCTCCCTCCTAAAAGGAAGAAGCACAGGAAAAGGATCAGCATATATCAACAAGCAACAAGACAATGATCAGAAGAAACAGATATTCTACATGCCGATGCACTTGCCTTTCCCCAGAGGCCTGATTCTTTGTCATACCAGTAACTCCCAGGCTTCAATTTTTGAGGTGGTATTGGACAACTAAGTAACTCTGCCATCTCTTCTGGCCTAAGTGGGAGTCCATTCACAACAAGTTGATCCGGCCGGAGTTGATTTGTGGGACATTCCTTTTCAGCTTTCAAAATCTGCCTGACTTCCAGTGGACTGAGAAGACGGGACAATGTCCTTGAACTCTTTCCTAGTTTTGAGCGCTTTGACTCATCAATAGGCTGGCCAATGCAACCGACACACTTGCGCCCCTCTGGCATTGATCCCATTGCTCTGAGCACACAATAGCTGCAGTACCTGGAATCACAAACCAGACAGACTTCTTTGCTCTCCCATTTCCTCTTCCCGCATCTATAACAAACCTTTTTCCTCTTATCCTTCCTGGTGACACCAACATATTGGGGAGAACCTGAAAAATCATGGTACAGCTTCTTGTTTTCTGAGTTCTCCTCAAAAGTAACCACAGACGCCCTCCTCCCCTCGTTAACCAGTTGGCTAGGTTGCTCATTCGGCAAGCTATGTGCAGACACTGGAGATACCGAGTGTGAGGCATCAGAAAATTCTTCATTCTGCAGGACCGAATCTACAGATTCCGAGCTTCCTGAGTCCTGGGGACTTCGGGATGGGTGATCAGCACAGTGAGCAATCCGAGAAACAGGCAAAGGGATTGGATCAAGCCCCGGGGAAAGGGTTCCGCTCGCTGACCTACGACGACTAAGTGCAGGCTCCGCGGTTGGAATCAAATCCACCGGGTCAACTCTCGGAAGCTCATACGACACTGGTGGACCGTCATACTCGATGGCAATGGAGTAGTCGAGGTTGGCTGGCGCCTCCGGAATGGGGGTGCCCGGAGGCAAAATCTTCCGCATCATCTCCTGCCAGCTATTGACATCCATACTGTCCATTTTTCTAAGCCTAGAAACCAAACATAAAGCTCCTGACCTCTCGCTTATCACAAACCAGAAGGATCACAACAAGCAGAGTCCCCACAAGATCCAACCTGTAAGGCTTAAGGATCGACGACCTCAAATACAGAAGGAAAAAAGAGGCAGAAAATTTCCAACATTTCACCGTACCAAAGAATTTGAACCCTTGTTGGACAAAGCGGCCTCTACACCGGACCAAAAGGCCTCAGAAGACGGTGAAAACCGGATCAAAAGCACGTCTTTCCGACATCCGATGGCAGTCAGCAAGAACCCTGGTTGGAAAAGATCGCCTCGGATCGTTCCACCGGAACAGGTCCGAGGCGCCAACTTTCCTGACGATTCGAAGGTGGAAGAAGCCTCCAACCTGTTCACGGCGGGTCACAACCCTAGAAATCGAGTCCTGCGAAGAAAGATTAGTGCAGAAACAACCGAGGGAATGGAAATGGACGGAAGGAATCGATGGGAATGTCCGCGGAGAGTGCGAAGAAGGGAAGCTGCTTGATGCTCTACATTGAGGCAGCGGATCTCCGCACAGAGAACAGTAGAGTACACGATGATTCTGAGATTTCGAAAGGGATTCATCAAATCATCCCGAATCGACCGCCATTGAGTTCCGCCCGTGGCCCACCGTGTGAATGTGGTACCCCACTTGGAGATAGGCGAGGGCCCACCCAATGTGGCCAATGAAACGAGACCACCAATATTCTTCAAACGGATTATGTTTGACTAAATTATTCCAAAATCATTTCTACTATAATTTTTTTTTAAAATAATAAAAATAAATAAATAATAAAGACGAAATTAATGGCCAAAACATAATGAAAATCTATATATTTTTTAAAATAAATATGAACATATGTAAAAGAAAATATATTATTTTTTATTTAAAAAATACAATCCTTTCTCAAATGGTAAAAGAAATGCTATCTCAAATTTGTGTTTGCTTAGCTGGATTTATTCTATGTTGTGATATCACAAGAGCATAAAAAAATAAAAAGAAAGAGTTTGCTTTTGAATATAAATTATGCTTTTGAATTCAATAATGAAGCCTTCTGTAAAAAAAAAAAAAGTGAATATGGCCAAACAGTTTGAGAATTTTTGGGAAAGTATTTCCTCCTGCTTAAAATATTTTTGCACTCCCAAAAAAAAATACTGTTGATGTATAGTGAGAGAGGCTTAGATAATCCAAAGGAGAACATTTTGCAACCAAAAATACTGTTGATGATATGAATGATCCATTTACTCTTGCAGCAGCTCACCAGTTAAAACCAGCATGCTGAGGACAGATAGATTCACAGAGTAAAAAAGCAACATGGTAAAAGAAATGTGAATGTGAAAGAAAGAGAGGACATGGTGCATCTTATCACAGAAAGGAGGCTATCTATCCTCCATTCTTTTGCTTTGAGATGATGAAGTGGAAGACAGCACAAAATGATTCCAGACAAAAGCTCAGTCTCAGAAGGCAGAGAAACCAGCAATCTGTGGGGGAGAGAGCTGTACCAATGAGGAGGACTGTAGCGTTGGGTCCTTGTTATCACTGTCATGCCCACTGTCATGTTGCCCCTTGTTTGGCCATGTATCCATCCATCAACATAGCATGCCACAGAGAATGGAAGGTAGATCTCCTCTCTGCCTTATTTGAACTAATCTGTCTCATTTTTTAGATCTCATAAAACTTAAACCATGTCATTGCTACCTAACAAAGCTAAAAGTAACACACTGAATTAACATAAGAACCAAACACAAAAATACAAATCTCTGTTCCTAATTGCTACCAAAAAGCCACAACAACAATGTGTCACAGTGTGGCAAAAGACAGCAGCATTGAAACAAAGCAGAGATCAAGTTTGCTCAAGACCCCTCAAGGAGTGCTTATTTAGATTGGAAGCATACATAAATGCTTTCTGTAATTTTTAGCTAAAAACAATTTTCTTCATCATGTCTAAATTTTACTTGGCACTAACCTCGGTCTCAAATTTTATATACCAATCTCCTTGAAATGCTCATGCATTCTGCCAAGACCAGTTTAAGCTTTTTTTGTGTATCACGTCTGAAAAATGAGGACAATGTCCTGTTCAGCATAGAATTGCCATCATATATAGTTCTCAAATGGATACATTTTCTGATATCTCTGCTGAACATCCATGTATTTATTGAGATTGGTGTAGGAGTGTGGCAGCAGCTTCCCTAGTTTCATAAATGAAACTAAGAATAGAGCACAAGTAACATTGAAAGAGGCATCAAATATCAAGTAATATATATTCTACTGCATATAATCTAACATGCTGCAGGACATGGTAATGAAAAACACCACATGGGATCTTTGCAAATGTTCACCATAACTGAGAACAACACAAAGGACATTTAGATAGGAACACAATTTCATCAACACTGTTGGATGGCCTAATGCATCTCCATCTGAATGCTTGTTCTTACCTACCAACAAGATCATAATGTTGAGTTTGTGAACTCATTTGTGGCAAATTTCATTCTGCCAGTCTGATATCTTTCCAATGATGAAAAGTTGAAAACTTTCAATTTGGAGCTTCTTCCAAGTCATGAAAAATTTTCTGTTTTTCAAATACTATGTCAAAAAAAAAAAACTATTTTGTTACTGCATTTAGTTTCCAAGTTTCAATCAAGATGTTCATATATTTCACACCTCAAGTTCTCTGCTCATCTTGACATGGTGCCAGTCTCACCACAATTTTCTCAAAATGGATGCAACTGAACCACCTCAGATACAAAGTGCTTAATTGATAAATAAATAGCAAACAAGCTAAGATGCTTAGCTGACAAGATATCCAAAGAAAAAGAACAATGTCTCACCAACTGATGCATGGCACTTGTAGCAGAAGTGTGATATTATTCAGGAACCAGCATATTTTGTAGAAACCAGCTGACTGGTTGTTTCAGCTCAATGTCTGTGTTGTTGAATTCCCTCTGTACTACATTCATGACAACAAAACAAAATACACATTTGATATGTTTGATAGGAACTCCGGAGGAATTGAAGGATCAATAGATAATCCCCCAGGAGTATACATGAGTGAGGTATGGAGGTGGTGAAGAAGGGTGGCATAAGGTGCCACAGACAAAAGGAAATGAACATAAAGGTTTACAAGAACTGCTACAAGGGCCAAAGATGATGATGAAGATTTGTTGTTTACCATACACTGCAAACAGTGATGGAACCTGAAAGTGATAAGCCTTAGCACTGTCAACAGGGAAAAGAAAAGAAGAGAAGAGAAGCTTATGAAGCTAAAGAAGAAGGATAAAAGAAAATTCACAACTTTTAATCCTGGAAGAGCTAAGCAAAGTAGTAATAGTTGTTGACTTTCTAGGATAAAAAGTAGAAAAGAATGAGCAAGTTTTTCATGGATTTTGTCTAGTTTATTAAAGTTTATGACCACTCTGACCTAATAATTATCCAATTATAACTACAGCAGACCTCAAATTTTTCATGGAAGAAGTCATCTCTCATAAGCCCAATGATTGGAGCCCATATGTGTTGCTTCCACTCCGCATGTCATGTTTAGGAGAATGGCATCATCTTGAATTTTCAGAGTGATTCCTAAATAGATCTTTTTCCATCCAAAAGTATTTGAAAAATATTTCGGTACTTAATTAGTGAGCTGACCTCTAACAAGGTATGTTACAATACTATCATTTAAGAAGACAAGCTCATGATAATGTTACTAGAAGAACACTTTAAAGAAACAAGATGATCATCATTGATTCATATGATTTCAATAACCCTCAAAACTTGCATGTAAGATTAAAATATTAAATATTAAGATTTAATATTTTAGGCTTATATATATTCTATAATAACCTAGAAGACATCATTTTCGGGCCTTTGTAAACTGCCCGGTAAAGTGTGCAGACGAGACGGTGGAGAGAGTCGATGGCAATAGGGTGCATAAGCATGAAGAGTTGTGGGGAAGGAAATAAATAAATAAGGGTAAAAATAAAATTAGATGGGTTATGGATAGTAAAATATTATTTTAATAATTTCTTAAGTGATTATGAGTAGTCAGGGAGTTGTGAATCGTAAGAAGAGGGCTCTAAATAGTAAACTCCCCCACATATTTCTTTGAAGTGACGGTATCAAAAATATCAAAATGATCTTTTTTATCAAAATAATAATAATAATAATAATAATAAATAATTAAGTTCTAAAGTACAACATGATGTCTTCCTTTTTCTCTTCTTCGTTTTCTATTTTGGATTAATTAGAAAAAAAAAAAGAATACCCTAAAATTTCTTACATCTAAGCATAAATTGGATTATGCCACATGAGTAGCTTAATCTTGATCATGGGGTTTTAATTAAACTTAAATCAGTGCATAATATATGATAATAATTTTACATTATTAACATGAACAAAAATAGAAAGAAAGGAAATAAAAGATGGAAGAACGACTAATGGTCTTAAACAGACTGTTAGATGAACCGATCTAATGATGGGTAATCATTCTCTTGAAGCGGTCCAGAAATTATGGTAAGTAAGCGAGAGAGAGAGAGAGAGAGAGAGAGATCTCAGAAAAGTAAGAGATAAAGAGTGTTGGAAAAGTAGGGAGAGGGAGAGAAAGCTTGGCCGATGCCACTACCTTTCTTCACCACCATCTCACTTTTCATGCATGCATGATTTGATTCCATTGCGAAAGTAGATGGTAAGAAAAGTAGTTTCTTCATGAGCTTATGTTTCCCCACTAATTTGTTTTTGATACGTATGGAAGAGAGTGAGATCACAAACATTTTTGAATTATTTGTATCACATTAATGAAGACAAAGAAGAATTCAAATATCATACTTAAAGATTCTTTCTACATCATGTCTTCCATCTTTATCCCATTTTCCTTTTCAAGGAGAGGGTGTCTCTTCTTCCCAACGTGGACACTGAACACAGAGGAGCTCACCTCGGATTGCCCCGACTATGCATGAGGGGTTTCATGAGGCACGACCGAGTTCCTTAACCTTCGGGGAACGACATGTCAGCCACCGCGGACTGCATCTCCTTCTTCCCCACCCGCTGCCCAGTTTGGCTGGATGACAGTGACCTGACACGGAGAAGACGCCGACAGAGACCTGAGCAACAACAGCGTCTTGCGCCGACAAGCCGGGTTGCAATGCCCCATCGCTCCATCTCCGACCAGACACGAGGTTTCAAATGGTGGGCCCGCACGTAACACATTTCCACCTCGACTTCAACCTTTGTGCTTGTAGGAGTTCGCAAGTCATGGTGGATTGGGAAGAAACGTTTTACACATTGGTGACGCATGGCCACGATTTCAAATGAGTGGAGCGTAATGTTGCAGGTGGACCGATAGCTACTGCTTGTCCCACAGCAAAATGGAGCTGTGATTTCTTGTGTAAATCGTTCGTGTATATCCACGTTGAGGAAAAAGGTGGGCAGATGTTGTCTGCTATCATCATCATCATCGTCGGAGCTTAGACAAAAGGGAATTTAGGCTTTAAGATCCATGGCTGCAAAGGTGATCATCCACGAGCACTTGCTCTTAAGCTCTCGATTAACAAAGTTTACAGTGTGGAGT